AACTGAGGCATTGCTGTTCAGACGACTGCTCTCGAATGTGGCGGGAGTGCTCTTTCACAAGCAGACCAAGTCTGCCTCTTGCGACCTGGCCAGTTAAGAACGAAAATGTATACCCCGACATGTTCTGAACATAGACGCCACTTTGGTCAAGCATTGCCGCCAGAGGTCTCCTAGCATTAAGGAAGTTTACAATTGTGACGGGCTTGCTGGCTGGTGTTGCCGATGCAGCGAGTCTTGAAAACCAGGCCAAAAGAGTCACTTCTTCATCAAACGATTCATTTTGGTCCATAATTTCATCTCGACACACACTCACCAACCGTTCCAGTGCCACCTTGGGGATGAACACAGACTTTACCTCCCGAGGACTCCACAGCAGACTCCAGGCCAGGCGCAAAATGAACGAGAATAACTTCCCCCCTCTTAGACGATCTTTCTGGACAATCCATTTTTGCCTTGTCGATGGAGACTCCTTTTCCTCCATCTCTAATAGCACATCGTTGCGCACGCCTAGAAACCGTGGCACCTCCTTCTCTTTGCCACCGAGCACCAGGGACCAGGCATGCAAAAGAGCCACGAACCCCTGGCCGCCCATAAGAGAGTGTGGCCACGATATGCTAACGAGCGTAGCATCCTTGAACGAGATGATATGCAGGGATATTTGCGGTAAATCGCAGTCTACCATTTCATCAATGGTCTTTGGTATATTTGCGCGCACCGCCAGCTCAATCAGATTGTACGGATTCGGCTGTATAGACGTCTTCCCTGTCGGGACAGGTAGTTTGCAGGCGAGACCATGATCCATAATGGACATATTGGATAAATTCTCACGAGAGAATGTAACGGGCGGCCTCTTGAGGGAGAATTGTTTCGGAACGTGAATTTCTAACTTTCCGTCTGCCTAGGAGTTCTCATATGTGAGCAACCGCGCGCGTTCCAAGTGTGCTTACTCCTGAATCTGGAGCCTGACTGCTTGCTTCTTGACTGCTCACATTATGTCTCAGCCTTCCACCGAGTTTCCTCCAGTCTCCCATCTCCAACAGCCGTGCCAATCCATCATGCAACTTGTCAGCGTCCAGCACATGGTCAAATCGAAGGGTGCAAGCCATAATAAGCTTCCGGAAGTTGAAGTCCTGTTGGTGTATCTCGTACACATCGTCCTCTGTAAATTCATCCACCGCCACAGCCGACTGCTTGCGCCTACTGAAGAGCCGGAGGAACGAGTCCATTGTTAAACTGCTGCCGCCCTTTTGTAAGGTTAATTGTTCAGGATGGTAACGTCTGGACCTCCCAGCTAGGGATGATATTTAAAGAGACTCCTTTTAAACTAAAGGATCTAAGGGGTTGGTTGAGATCAGCCTGAATGAGGTCAGGTTTACCATGCTTCATTTTTATGTGCGGTATAACTATAGAGCAAGGGGAGAGCCACTTATAATCCCCTTTACAGGTCTCCCCTAAGCCTTGGTATTATTTAACTTAGCTTGGTTATTCTAGCCAGGTTATTTTGGTGATACCTTGGGATTCTGACCAATACTCAATACTATATAGCAGTTATTACAATGAGATTGCTTATTTGGAGCTCTTATGTATAAACCGACAATCACTCCTATTTTCTTATTCAACTTTCCTGGTAAACAATACATATAAAATACATATAACTAGTTGAGCCTTCGTGGCATATATCTTAGAGTACCTATATAGTACGCATCGCTGTCAATATATGCATTCTCCCGTATAACTGACCAATTGATTGCAAAGATGGATGTCTATCCCGTTCACTTACTTGATAATGCAGACGATTATCGCAAGATCGTTATGTCCTATATTTTCCGATTCAGCGATGTCCTGGATGGCCAAAAGCTAGCAGACTCGCTCTCAGCTTTGCTCGAAATTGGCGACTGGCGCAAACTCGGCGGACGGTTTAAGCTCAATGTAGGATAATTCCATGGATGTCCATAGTTATCCATATCTATAGTTAGCTATAGTTAAATACTTACTCCCTACAACTGCGCCCTTTACAGAACCAGCTAACAGTTCTCAAATCAGAAAGATGGAAATCTTGAGATTCACGTCCCACGACAGTTCACTCCTGAAGCGCCGGCGGTTACCTTCTCACAGAAGATAATAGCTGCGAGTGTCGACACAGATCCGCTGGGAAAACAGCTGCCCAAGCTGACAGGCTGCCATCCGGTGCAGCGGACGCCGCCCCAGCTGCGAGACTTTGCCGGCACTCCCAGCCCACCCAGATCCATAAAGGAGATGCTAGAGCGAGATGCGACGTTGCTGCATCTTCATGTCGTCTGCTTCTCTGACGCTACGGTGGTCGGCATAACGTGGCCGCATGTTCTCATGGATGCGATGGGGCTGCAGGCGCTGCTGCGCAACTGGTCGCTGGTCCTCGATGGCAAAGCAGAGGATGTGCTTCCCCTGGCTGGAGCCCGAGACGATCCTGTTCAGGAATTACTTCGGCAAGACGCTGGCCCAGCTGAAGCGCCAGTTCTAGAGAAGCTGAGCTTTGGACTGCTGGGAACTGTCACGTTTCTGTTTCGTCTCATCTGGATGAAACTGCGGAATCCAGGCTTTGAGCAGCGGACGATTATCTTCCCCCAGGACAGGTTGAATCAGCTCTGCGCTCGGGCTCGCAGCGATCTTGAAAGCCAAGGCGAGAAAGAGCTTTTTCTTGGTGAAGGTGACGTTCTTGCAGCGTGGGCAGCGCGGGTGCTAGCAGCTTCGCAGCCCCGGCCACACCTGGCCACCATCGTCAGCGTTGTTAACTTCCGATTCACGCTCAGTGCCCTGCAAGGAAAAGGGGCACAATATATCCAGAATATGCTACAGCTGGTTTATGTCTCCCTTGCCCGAGGCTGGACTGCTGAACCATTCGGATTCACTGCCCTTGCCCACCGGCAGCAGCTCGCGGAGCAATGTACGGAATCGCAGACGCTTAGCTATCTTCGGATGCAGCAAGACCATATTGAAGCCAAGGGGAAGCTAAGGCTGCTGTTTGGCAATCCGAAGGCCTCAGTTCTGATGGTTAATAACCTCGCGAAGCTGGATTTCTTTCGAAACATCGACTTCTCTGCAGCCGTAGTACGGAGAGACCCAACACGCCCAAATCCACCTGGTGCGATTGTCTACTATCACACGCAAGTTATGAATGACCATTCTGTGTTTAGCAGTTATCTGGGTGTCCTCGGCAAGGACCATAGCGGCAGGATCCTAATAAACGGGACATTTCCTACTAAAACATGGGAGTTGATCATTCAAGAACTCAAAGGTGAGATATAATGATGACCCTTTGTGGACGAGATCTTTGACGAGTGATACTATACGTCCAAGTGAAGCTTTTTGTACCTTTTTTTCCACCTGCCTTAAATAAAAGAGTTCAGATTTGATCGTGATATACCTAGTTACCTTTTTTTTGCTTTTTCGTTCTCCCAGAAGAGATACGGAGAAGTAGTTACAGAGTAATAAGGAGGTTGAAGATAATTTGACAGTTAACTACTCACTAACTGCTGTCAGGTCAGTCTCACAGACGCCAGAAACATCCCGGTTCAAGCATAAACTTGGCAGCTAGTTACATGGACAAAAACATCAGCTAGTTAAGGAAACCTGCCTGCTTGAGAGTTGTGTTGATGCATTCTGATAACTCGGCAATGGTCATGGGATCTCGAGGCAGCAAATGACCCTTGCCATGATCGAATAGGGTGGCTGTCTCTTCATCGCAGACCTGAAACAGGGTCATGGCGCCGTAAAGATAGGGGTCGCTACAGCCGACAATGTGGCATGTTGGGATATCAATCATATCATCGTCCTCGGGTAGGACGGGCGCAAGGCGGTCACCTTCGAACTTTGCAGGCGGCCAGCCCCCGAAGAAGATGCCAAACTGGCCCAGTTACCCCGTGGTTAGCACAAAGATCAAAAGCACATGGATGGATTGGTTACGGGGTGACAAGGCGTGGCTTAGTTACCTTGACCCTGTGTGGGATGCCTTCGTCTCGGTGCCGGTGTGCCTGCTGTAACAAATATGTTGCAGCAGTCGTAGCACCTTCGGAGTAACCAAGAATTCCCTGCAGCGTGAACTCGGGTCAGTGTACGGAACAACCAGGTTATTATTCGCGGACTTTATGGACTTTTATCCTTTTTGACAGTGGAAGGATAACAAGATAACTACCTGAATTTCTGGATCCTCGACCAGGCACTGCTCAATGTAGTCGAGGGTCTTCATATATTCTTCTTTAGACACGACTGTGGCATCATTTTTGATAAGCCTCTTTATTGTGTCTTCGAAGCTTTCTCCTGGTTTGAGTGTACGCAGGTTCAATTGCATGTTCTCTAAGCCAGCAATACCGTCGTATTGAACGTTGAGGAAGTGAGGTGGCGGGCCAAAGTAGTCCTGAAAGCCATCTGGAGGCACGGCAGGATAGAGGCCGTCGATGAATTTGAAATCCACCTCCCCAGGCTTCTCTATCTGGGCGAGAAAGGGTTCGAGCTGGGTGCGAAAGGCCTGTCAAATCGTTAACAGTCAAAACACGTTGGGAATGCACGGAATGGGTAAAATGATGGCAATCTATATGCTCTTGACTTACAGATGCGCTGCCATACGAGCCATGGATACAGAGGATCTTCATGACTAAAAGGTGACGGAGTTACCAGCATGCAAATGAGATTTGAAAAAGCGGATGCAGCAGCGAGCAAGAGACAGAGAGGTGGGAACCTCTCTAGCTAGTTAACTACTCCGTGAAAGCCAGGTATCTATCTATTTAGTTAGTTATTGAGTCCAACCAAGTCGTTGGCCGTAATTGGCATCCCATGTCGATCAACCTGGGAAGAGACGGCGGCGGATTTCACAATTTGAATACAAGCCGGCCAGTATAAAATACTCACACTGCATAGTTACATGGCGAGGGAAGCAGGCTGGTAGGAAGCACAAGCAAAGGCCCAGAACGCCATAACTCGTAAAATATCAAAAGTAGACATGGGGTGGATGAGAGATAGGAAATGCATTCGCCTCCTATTAGAATGGGGCGCAGCCTACAGTTTTAACAAATACACAATGGCCAATGGAATAGACAAAATACATAATAATTACTCCGTACAGAGTCAAGAATTAGAATAAGCGCTCTACTCCGTATGACATAAACAAAACAACTACTGGGGAGAGAGAGAGGGAGTGAGTGAGTGAGTGAGTGAGTGAGGAAAAGGGAGAGGGAGAAGGAGAAGAAACCGCCCCTGGATCACCCTATGATGGATACTATACCTTCTGATCTCTTCCGCAGTAAGATATTTGGGCCTTCATGCTTATTCTTGGACCTTGGACCCGGTCTCTAGTTGCCTGTGTACCGACAGGTCTTGGTTATCAATGACCCAATGGCCCTGAGCTATATATATACCGTATAGCTGCGTACGGAGTACATTTTACAGCTGCACGCCATCACAGAGCTTTCAAACATGGAGAAGCCGATGCCTATTGCCATCATTGGCATGGCATGCCGCACTTCGGGCGGCGTTGCTTCATTAGATGAATTCTGGACGATGCTCTCTCGCTGCAGAGACGGCTCTGGTCCGATTCCAAAGGACAGATTCTCCTCTGCTGCATACTATCACCCCAATCCGCAAAAGCGAGGCACATTCAACCAGCTTGGAGGCTATTTCATGGACAGAGATGTGTCCTACTTCGACGCCCCGTTCTTTAATATCACAAGGCAAGAAGCAGCTTCACTAGGTAGGTCGAGTTCCTCACTATCAATTGCCATCAGCAAGCCATCTGACCACGTAACTTACCTATCGACCTCTTTTCCCGCCAAAATAGATCCGCTGCAAAGACAACTCCTCGAAATCTCATACGAAGCTCTAGAATGCGCCGGGCTTCCTAAGAACAAGATATCGGGAGAGAGCATGGCCGTCTTCGTTGGTACTAAGAGATCAGACTACCGATGCAACTCACAGGACGTGAAGCGAATTGAACTGTTTAACGCAACAAGCGTTCACCCGGCCGTTCAGGCAGGCCGGCTATCCTACTACTTCAACCTCAACGGGCCCTGCTGCGCCGTCGACACAGCCTGCTCTTCTGGGCTGCATGCTCTCCACCTAGGCGTGAATGCCATTCGTAATGGAGAGTGCAGTTCTGCGCTTGTGGCGGCTGCTAATTTGTATCTCAACCCGGATGACCTGGTATCCATGTCGATGCTGGGCCTATTTACTCCTGCGGGCAAGACATACGCCTTTGACCACCGCGGAACGTCCGGCTTTGCCTGCGGCGAAGGCGCGGCAGCCCTCGTCATCAAGCCGCTGGATCGGGCCATTAATGATAACGACAACATCTACTCTGTAATCGTCAACACAGGAATCAACCAGGATGGCAAGACGGCTGGTCTCACAACGCCGAGCAGTGAAATGCAAGAGAAGCTTATGCGTGACGTATACAGGCGCGCAAACATCAGCCCTAATGACACAGCATTCGTCGAGGCTCACGGCACAGGCACAAAAGTAGGAGATCCCCTAGAAGTTGCTGCCATCCAGCGAGTGTTTGGCAACGGGCGTACAAAGCGCAGCCCGCTATATATTGGCTCAGTAAAGACCAATGTCGGCCACCTGGAAAATGCCAGCGGTCTCATTTCCGTCATCAAGGCTAGTCTTATGCTGCACCGAGGCTTCATCTTGCCAAACACCAATTTTGAGAAGGCGAATCCTGATATCCCACTGGAAGCGTGGAATTTGAAGGTCCCCGTCAATATTCGTCCCTGGCCCAGGGGCAGGCGCTATATCAGCATCAACAACTTTGGTTTCGGCGGCTCTAACGCCCATGTCGTCCTTGATAAAGCGCCTCCCGCGGTTATGCTCAGAGCTATTCCTGTCGAGCCGCCGGGCAGAGAAGCTATACCTAAACTCTTTGTCATTTCCGGTCACGACGAGGGTGCAGCAAGAAGAAATGCCAGCCAAATTGGAATCTACGTCGAGCAGCACCCGGAAGTCTTTGAGAAGCGCATCGCTCGCGACGTCGCGTACACCCTCGGCGAGCGTCGAACTCACCATGCTTTCCGCGTTGCTCTCACAGCGAGCAATTTCGGTGAACTGACAGAAGATTTGAACGATGAGGCACTACTCCCACAGCGTGCGTCAGATGAACCACTTAAGCTAGCCTTCATATTCACTGGCCAAGGTGCTCAGTGGCCGCAGATGGGCAGACAGTTACTCAATTCTCACCCGATCTTCGGCCTGACGGTCAAGGAGTGCTCCGATTTTCTAGAGAACAGTATTGGCGCTGACTTCTCTCTTATGCAAGAACTCTTGCGGCCAAAGGGCGAGTCCATCGTTAATGAAGCTCACATTTCACAGCCAATTTGCACAGCAATCCAGCTGGGTCTCGTTGAGCTGCTCAAGTCCTGGAAAATTGAGCCCTCCATGGTTTGTGGCCATTCGTCTGGTGAGATAGCCGCCGCCTATGCTGCCGGTGCCATTACGCTCAGAGATGCTATGGCCGCTGCTTATTACCGCGGTCACTTTGCCGCTCAGATGAAGAAACGCAATCCTAAAGTCCGTGGTGCCATGTTAGCTGTTGGCGCCGGACCTGCGGAAGTAAAGAGAATCATCAAGTCTCTGAGTTTAGCCGGCGTCACCGTTTCTTGTGAAAACGCTCCCAATTCTGTAACTGCTTCTGGTGACGAAGCCGACATTGACAGACTTGCATTAGAACTTGAAGGACGCAGCTTGTTCAACCGTAAGCTCCGTGTCGATGTTGCATATCACTCTGCGCATATGAAGCTCGTTGCGAACGACTACATGGCAGCCATTGAGAACATGCACTTCAAGGCCATGGATGATGGTATCAAGTTTTACTCGTCTCTTCTTGGGAAAAAGCTTGATAGCACTGAAGCACTGGGTGCTCAGTACTGGGTTAACAACCTTATCAAGCCTGTTCTCTTTTCATCTGCTCTTGAGGAGCTCTACAATGACGGAAAACCAGACATCATCATTGAACTCGGTCCTCACTCTGCACTCGAGGGCCCTATCAAGCAAGTTTTAAAGGGAATTAGCAAGCAGGCTGCTACAAGCGTCAGGTATCATTCTGCTTTGCTCCGCAACCAAGATGCTGCGGTTACAGCCGTCAAGCTTGCCGGTAATCTTTGGACCAAAGGCCTTGATATCGACTTCAGCCAGGTCAATATAACGTTGGAAGGGCAGTTGGAGCCCGGCCTGGTTTCAGACCTACCTTCATACCAGTGGTCAAAACATCAGTGCTGGACAGAGTCTCGCGCCGGCAAATCTCATCGCCTTAAGGATTTTGGTCGGCACGATCTACTTGGACTCCTACAGGACGACTGCAACGAAACTGAGCCTGTCTGGACCAATGTTCTTGATTCTGATGAAGTGCCATGGCTCAAGGATCATAAGATGCAGTCTCTTGTCACATTCCCCTGCGCTGGGTACCTGACTATGGCAACCGAAGCTGCTTCTCAAACAGCGCGGATGCGTGGCGTGCTGTTGGAAGAAATTGCCTCATACCATATGCGAAACATCCAGGTTAGCAAGCCTTTCATCCTCGATGATGGCGAGTCTTATGACACACGCTTTACTCTCAAGCGTTATGCCGAAGGTCTGGCAGCGTATTCTAACGACTGGGATGAATTTCAATACTCCTCTTGGGCCCCTTCCCGAGGCTGGGTTGAGCACTGCCGTGGCCTCGTTGGCATCAAGAAGCGCAGCAACACCAATATTGTTCGAATGAACAACCAAAAAGCTGCTATTGCTCGCAGGGCCAATATGCAGCCACAGCCTGGTACTGAGATCGATTGTGAATCGTTCTACTCAGAACTTTTGGGTAAGGGTGCTGGATACACCAGAGACTTCACTTTCAAGGATGGTGCAAATCTGAGAGTCGATGGTGATTGTTCAGCTGGCATAGCAGTTCTCCAGGATGTTGCTGCCAATATGCCTTTCAACCATGAGACACAAAGCACTCTGCCCTCTGCATTAACAGACTTGATATTTCAAACATGTTTCTTGATCCTCGGTGCAGGGCGCGGAAATCTGAAGAGCTTGGTCGTGCCATCGGCTATCGGAAGTGTCGAGATTTCTACCACATGCCCAAATACTCCCGGCGAGACGCTTGAAATCGTGACCCACCACCAAAACTTTGCTTCAAAGGACCGATTGGTATTTGACAGTGATGCATGGCACACAAATGCGAGTGAGCCGGTCGTTATGATGCGAAGCACCATCTTGACGCCCATTCATGGTGATGCTTTTGAAAGTCAAGAGCCACGGTCTGCGTGCTATAGAGTGATCTGGGAACCTTTGGAAGCCCAAGTTGCAGCCAAACTTGAAGACAATGCCGCATCAGATGGGGCAAATAACCATTCCAACTGTCACACTAATGGGCACAGAGATGGACACGCCAATGGTTATATAAACGGCCATGCCAACGGCAGCACCAATGGACATACAAATGGCCATATTAGTGGGTATACAAACGGACACACCAATGGACACACCAACGGCAACGCCAGCAACATCAACGGCAACACCAACGGCCATACAAATGGTCATACCAGTAGGTATACCAATGGACACACAAACGGCAACACCAACGGCCATACAAATGGTCATACAAATGGACACACCAACGGGCGTACCAACGGTTATACAAACGGCCGTACCAATGGACATTCGAATGGTGGCTCTAATGGGTATACCAATGGTGTGCCGACTTCTGGCGTTGACTTGAGCGCCACTCCCATCACCGTCATTTGCGATGCTGGTCCCTCAAACCCTCTCTGCGCTGCCCTTGCGGATCTGATTGAGATTCAGACGTGTGGATGCAGGCCAACCATTATATCACTAGCAAAAGCAGAGATATGTTCATCCGTCAGATATGTTGTCTTGAATGAGGTCGATAGCCCGGTCCTCGATGACATGAATGCCGATACATTTGCTCTGATCCAGAAGCTCCTGCTTGATGGCTTGTCTATCCTCTGGGTAAGCTCTGGTGCTTATCTAAATGCAGAGAGCCCACATAACAACATAGCCCAGGGAATGTTCCGAACCATTCGTTCCGAGCTGGGTAAAGTAGCGGCCACTCTTGACCTCGATACCAAATCTAAGTTGCGGCCTGACGATCAGGCGCAGCTTATCATCACTGCAATGAAGACATCCATGGAAACATTCAAAGATGAATCCATCGATTATGAATTTGCGGAGAAAGATGGGAAACTTCTCGTTCCCCGTGTCGTAGAAGAAAATGAGATGAATCTTGACCTCTTCCGCCAAACCCAGTCTCCTCCCCCTTATCTCCAAAACTTCAACGAGCCCAACCGCCGCCTCAAGATCGCGGTTGGCACATACGGTGCGCTCGACTCCCTATTCTGGGACGACGAGGAGACATACGGGCTTGGGCCAAACGAGATTGAAGTTAAAGTTGCTGCTACTGGCATGAACTTCAAAGACGTTGTCATTGCCATGGGACAAGTGCCTAGCCCGTACCTCGGAATCGAGTGTTCCGGTACCGTCTCACGCATTGGATCTGGTGTCACCTCGCTCAAGATTGGAAATCGAGTTTGTGCTATGACACACGGTGCTTATAGTACTTTTGCTCGCTGTCCAGCTACTAGCGCAGCTGTCATCCCAGAGGATATTGCATTCTCCACAGCCGCTTCTATCCCCGTTATCTTCTGCACAGCCTACTATGGCCTGATAGAGCTTGCTCACCTTGAACGTGGGGAGAAAATATTAATTCACGCAGCGTCTGGCGGCGTGGGACAGGCCGCCATTCAGCTCTCCCAGATGGTAGGCGCTGAGATTTTTGCCACTACCAGCAGTGTTGAGAAGAAAAACCATCTTATTGATACCTATGGTATTCCGGAGGACCATATCTTTTATAGTAGAGATACCAGTTTTGGGCCTGCCGTCAGAGAATCTACCGACGGGAAAGGTGTAGATGTTGTAATCAACTCCCTTGCTGGTGATCTGCTGCGAGAGACCTGGGCCTGCATTGCCCCATTTGGCCGCTTTATTGAAATTGGAAAACGTGATATCACCTCCAACACTCGACTGGAAATGGACAAATTTGAATACAATTGCTCTTTCCACTCGGTTGATTTGTCCAAGGTTGCTGACTGGCGACCAAAGATAATGAGTCGAGTTTTCAAGGAAGTCATGGCTCTCATCTCCAAAAGGATTATCCAGCCCATTAGCCCCATCACTGAGATTGGCATCTCTAAGGTCGAAGCTGCGTTGCGCAAACTTCAGAGCGGCAAGACTAAGGGCAAGGTCATTGTCAACCATCTCGTCAATGAGCAGGTCAATGCTGCCCACAGACAGCCTACCGGAGACCTAGTGAATGGAAATGCCACTTATATCATCATTGGCGGTACAGGTGGCCTTGGTCGTTCCATGGCAAAGAAAATGGCTCAGCGCGGTGGAAAGCACGTCGTCCTTCTATCCCGCAGCGGCAAGATGACTCCTGAGCTAGATCATCTCAGCAAAGAATGCGAGATATATGGAGCCAAGATCTATGTAAAATGCTGTGACGCGGCCAACCAGGCAAAAGTCAACGAACTTATCTCAGAGCTGCAATCGTCACTGCCTCCGATCCGTGGTGTCATCCATGCAGCCATGGTGCTGCGGGATACCCTCTTTGAAAAGATGTCATTCGAGGACTGGGATGAGGTTGTGCGCTGTAAGGTTGCGGGAGGCTGGAACTTCCACATTGCCTTAGCAAAGGAGCCCCTCGACTTCTTCATCGTCCTATCCTCGGTTGCTGGCATTGTTGGCAACCGCGGCCAGGCAGCCTACGCCGCTGCCAACACCTTCTTAGATGCCTTGACAGTCCACCGCCGTAGGTTGGGTCTTAAAGCTACATCGCTCAACCTAACTGCAGTCGAGGATATCGGTTATCTGGCGGAGAATTCCGGCAAGCAAGGCGAAGTTCTTCGCAATTTATCTGGTAACGGAATTGGCGGGGCCGAAGTCCTAGCACTCATCGAGAGTTCTATAAACGGCAAGGTTGGCACCGCCTGCGACGACCAGTGTATCACCGGACTTGAATTCGGGGACTCGATGCCCTACTTTGCCGCGGATGGCAAGTTCAAGTATCTTCGTCAGGCTGCTCTTGCGCTGAGCGCTGCTGCGGGTGATGACGGTGGCGCGAATATTCCTATTGGCAAGAGACTAGCTAGGGCGATGACAGTGGGCGAAGCCGTCGAGCTTGTTACCGATGGCTTGCGTGACAAACTGGGCGCCATTCTGATGCTTGACCCCGATGTCATTCTAGCTAAACAGGCGACTGTCACCATGGCTGCCCTTGGCTTGGACTCACTCAACGCTATCGAGCTGCGTAATTGGATCGCAAGGGACCTGCAGACACACTTGCAGATCCTGGAGCTGCTGCGAGCTGGAACGTTGGCTGATCTTGCAAGTCAGATTCTGAAGAAGACTCGCATCCAAGGTGCTTGGACAATGCAGGAGGGAGCCAGATAAAAACAAAAGGAAAACAGGGAAACGGACCTATGAGGTGGACAAGGCTTTTTATATTAAAATATTGAAAATATGTGCTTTTTCTTTTTCAACATTCTTATGCCTGGCGTTGTGGTTGATCAATTTCTAGGTATAGTTTTAGTTAAAATTCCACTATCACGATTAGTATTAAGGTAATTAGTAGTAGTATTAATAGCGAATTTTCGTGCCATGCTTGTTATAATTCGATGTAGACAGGTCTGGTTTTCGTAGTAGTTTCATGGAATTGTAAATACCTAGTCGTGCGGTTGCCCCGTTGAGTCACAGTGGAATTGTCAGGCTTTCTTGTTCGTAGAGATCAGTGGCCAAAGGCAATCAATCATAAATTTGCCGTCTTGGAAGTGAGAAATTCCTCAATGGCGAGCCGTAAATCACGGTAGGCGACTTTTTCTCCCGAGGTCAGCGGCCACTTCTCGAATCCTAGCTCATTGAGGCTCACAGCACCTTCGACACGGTATTCCAAGCCAAGCTTTTGAGCGACAAGTTCTTGAACAGCAGCGGATGCAGGGGCAGGGACAGCGTGCTCTAAGACAGCAAATAAACCCCTATCACCGTTGCTGGTGGTGATATTCACTACGGCAGCCTATAGCTACAGGTCAGCAACCAGCCATTGATAACTAGATAACTTGGGGGGGAGGGCGGGTGCTGCTTACCGAGGACCCTTCGAATTGCGTCTCGAGAAAATTTTCAACGATACAGGGGAGGATGAGCTTGCTGTCGCGCCTGAGAGTATACTCACTTCGACCGAGGACATAGAGAAGGCCTTGGTCATCAATCACGGCATCGTCCCCAGAGACGAACCAGTGGTGGCCGTCGTCTCCTACGTAAAAGGCAGCAGAATTGGCACCACCCAAGTAACCACCGATAACTGAGTCGCCGCTCAGGTGTAACGCACCAACATGATTACGGCGTGCAACGTTACCGTCTATATCAACGACCTTGAGCCTTTCGCCGGGAGCCACCTTGCCTGAGGCGGCGATGCCGTGCCATGTAGGTATCTTGTCAACGGATGGCACACCTCCGGCAGCTTCCCAGGTCACTGTCTTTGCGGCCTCTGACATGCCAAAGCTGGGCAGGATCGTTGCGTGAGGGAACGTCTTCTTGGCCCTTCGGAGGACCGACGCGGTCATAGTTGAGCCGATGAGATGGACGAAGCGGACCGACCTGATGGCGTCGGCGGTGTAGTTTGGGCTACGGGCAATAGAGGAGAGCGCCGTGACGGTTACGGAGGCAAAGGCAGGTCGGCATGTTTGCAGCCCAGCGAGCTTCGTCTCAGCTGTCGCCTCGTTGCTGGCGTCCATGACGGCGGCGTTGCCTGAGGCCCAGGACATCAGTGTGATGGCTGTGCAGAGCGACCGGAAGCATGTGCCCGAGACAAGAGTCATAGGAGTTGGTAGGAGAGGCATCTGCTTGGACACAGCTCCGAGAAGAGATAGAATTTGGCTGGCGGACACTGGGCAGCCCTTGGGTATGCCGGACGAGCCACTAGTAAACACAACGAAGGCTGTCCTGTCACTTTCTCTCTTTTCTTCCACTTCTTCTGCTTCTTCTACTTCTTCTTCCTCTTCCTCTTCATATGAGGATGCTGCAATATCTGCCATGCTCAGCCAGCCCTCCGGAGCAGGCGTCGCGAAGTTCTCCAAGCAGATCCCGAGTGCTACATCTGTCTGTCCAGCAAGATGCAGCGCTTCCTCTACCGTAGTAACGATAATGAAAGACGGGCTTAGTGTGTTCATATGTACTCGCAGGTCGTGCTCATTACCAGGCGCGAGCGTCTTCCGGTCGAGCGTCACACCCGTGTAGCGACTGTACGCAGACACAGACAGCATCAACGCCCATTCTGCGCAGACCGGGGTGAAGAAGGCGCCTGTCGCCCCTGGCTTCACACCACGACGACGCAGAAAAGAAGCTAGACGAATTGTTGCACGTTGGAGCTCTGCAAAGGACCATCTGAGGTAGTCTGTCTCTGTATCAGGCGCCGGCAGAACCCACGATAGCAGGTAGCTGAGCATGTACGCCGGTGTGGCTGCTCGCTTGAGGCTACGCATGAGGGCATCGCGGCTGCCACTCTCATCTCTCCTTCCTCTAGGCCGGACGAGTCCTTCGAGCAAGTTTCCAGGCTGCCGGGGGCTCAGCAGGGCCAGTCTGTCTGGCTGTATGCTGGCACGCTGGTGCAGGGCTGTCCAGAGTGAGTTGATCGTCGGCTTGAGCGCAGGGCCACCCTCGACGAGAGCCAGCAAGTCGTCCATGTTATTAGACGGTTAACTTTTGATAGTTATAGCAAGCGCTATATCAATATGCAATCGTAATAAGTGCAAGGTTGCGAGATGCGTTCTGCTCCTGGACCAGCGATACGAGGTTGGCTCTTGAGAAGTAGCATGAAAGCCACGTATGTAACTATTTCGATAACCAGGTATTGCTTGGCCGACTCCAGTGTTCACATTGATAAGGACTGATAACGAGGTACCCGGGTTAGCACAATAACAGGCTATGGCACTCCAAGGACAGCAGCATGCCAACATTAACTCATTGAGCTTCATTTGTGCTTCTTAGTTTTCTCGGTCATTTGATAACTACCGAGGCCTGTTCGAATACATGCTCGCCTCCTTGGTTAAAACCTCTTTTGTTCATGGTTTTATTCAATGCCGTAGTTCACGTTCAAACCTGCAGACCTTCAGGGGAGCTACAGATATCTGTTGAGAAGCACCCATAAGGCCTAACCTGGACAAGGCATTCTTGCATGTCCAGTCTCTGGGTATCAAGGTGAAGGACTCAGGAGAAATTTTCGCAAGGTATATCAATAACGACGCGAGTTATTATTTGATTCATCATTAAGCTTCTAGCCAATGGATATTTTTGTTTAACCGTAAATCATGCAGTTCCCTCAGGTTCAAAATATTCACATCAGGTATGTTGGAGGTAAACCTCAGGTAACAGTACCTCACACTCGTAGTTAACTTGATTTCGGCCTCTGGCTTGCTCGGCTGTGCTGAATACGATATTGCAAAGCCCGCCAACACTCCACGTAAAGTGCCGGTTAATCGTCCCGGCCCCTATAACTAGTTCACTGCCTCCTTGATTCCAAATGCCGAGAACCAAGAAGACGATGAACCACTTGGCCGAACAGGAGGGACGAACTGTTTCTTTTATACGGAGTAATAATAGAGAAGTAGTCAAGGCCAAGTTTGCTAACCAGTTGTTAGCTAGTTGATTAGTAAAGACGCAAGTCCGAATCTGGTTTTCATATTCAGCGATACGAAGGGTGGCTGAGAAGGAGCACGAAAACCACGGAGCCCCTGGAATGCTAGGAATTCATGCAGAAGAGGCTAACGGCGGGAAGCTTGGCTGACGTTGGGACAGGGGGATGTGCTGTTTAAATTTATATAGATCCTGCAGTTGATATAATAACTGCTTGAGCCAGCTCATATGTAATGTGCCTACGTTGATGTCAGTGTTATCGAAACGAGCTGAGCTGATGGACGCGGCAGGCTGGACATTTGCTCGTTTGAGTGTTCTGGAGCCAACTCTCCGTTAATTAGAGGCTGATTGAGGTGGCCCCGGGCATGTTTGAAGCCATACGAGCAAACATTGTCAATAATGTTCTACTGTATTAAGATCGCCATGTTCTGCCACAAGACCTTGCGGGGCCGGGGTTTGATATGAGGCAGAGTAGAGGCCGGGATCGACCCGTTTCGAGCTTTTCGGCCGGGGTAAGGCATCGGCAGCGATGAACCTCAAACTGATCGACGCTCTAACTCGGCATCGGACGAGAATGCATGAGCAACTCCGGTGTTGTTTATGCCTGAAATACAGGCAGGGTAGCATGCCACCATGGAGCAGACATTCTTTATATATACCATCCATATTCCCCTACAGGCCTCCTTGCCTACGTATAATTGTACTGGAAACAAAGAATTCCAGTTAAATCCGTACGTGAAAAGACGAGAGAAGGCCCAAGATGCCGCGCTTCAACCCCCTAAGCATCTCCTGTCTGGCTACTCTGCTGACCACCTACCTTGGTACAGCATCTGTATCTGCACAGTCACCACCCCAGGAAACCCTCTGGCCGGTGCAGACGTTCCAGAGTACGGATATCCAGACGCCGTTTTTCAATGTGACGAAGAAAGGCCAGACGGAACCGGGCTATATCTTCATAAGCCCGAGAGATAAGGCCCGAAACATTGGACATCCAGCTATCCTCGAGGACAATGGCCAGGTTGTCTGGAAGGGACCGGAAGACGCGAGCACATATGGCTTCAAGCCTCAGCTTCTTGACGGGAAGCCAGTGCTGGTTAGCTGGTTCGGGTTCGTGAACGAGACTGGATTCGGACTGGGATCTATGAGCATCTTCGACAGCTCGTATGAGAAGATCCACGAGGTGATTCTGCCCGGTGGTGATAACGAATACTACAAGACGATTTATGAGCCCATGACGTTCCCATCATACATGGACAACCACGAAGGCCAGATCACGGACCAAGGAACCATCGTTGTGACTGTTGTCAATGTCACTGAGGCAGATCTCCGTGCTGTTGGCGGGCCTGAGAAGGGCTGGGTTGTCGACGGAGGCTTTTTGGAAATGGACATCAAGACCAACGAAGTCCTCTTCCGCTGGAATGCCGCTGAGCACATTGATGAGATCCCTGTCACTTTCTCCCTTAAGCCAATTGAGGGAACTGGAACTTCGCCCAAAAACCCATGGAACTACGTCCATGTCAACTCCGTCTTCAAATCCGGAGACTCTTATATCGTCTCTTCTCGGTACTCCTGCAACATCTTCCTCATCTCCAAGGAAGGCGAGATTGTCTGGCGCCTCAACGTAAGTACAAGTTCTCTGGACCTCCAGCCTGATATGTAACTAACAATCTGTCTCTAGGGCATTGATGGAGGTGACTTCGAGCTAGGCCCCGGCGCCAACTTCTGTTACCAGCATGAAGTCAGGGTCGAATCCCACACCGTGGACAAGATCACGCTGACTACACACAACAACGACAACGCCGACTTCACGCCTGCCAATGAAACCAAACCGACAACCGGTCTGGTCCTCGATCTCGATCTCAACGCCAAGAAAGTCACTTTGAACCGCATGGTATGGAACTCCGAGCGGCCTGTCGTCTCTCGGGGCCAGGGGAGCTACCAGGTGCTTGGCAACGACCACGTCCTGATGGGCCAGGGCGCCATCCCCATCGTAGAGGAGTACGATGCCAACGGCGCCGTCGTAATGGACGCCCGTTTCGGCAACGACGGCGTCACCAACTGCTACCGCGCCTACCGCAGCGCCTGGGTTGGCACACCCAAGACGAAACCGAGCGTAAAGGCCTGCGGTGCCGATCCGAACGGCGCGGTGGTGTTTTATGTGAGCTGGAACGGCGCGACGGACGTAGAGTCGTGGAAGATTTTCTCTGTCTCGGACTCTGGCGAGCACAGTGAGATAGCTAATGTGCCGAAAAATGGCTTTGAGACGAGGATGGAGCTGCAGAAGGCTGGCAGCAAGTTCATCGTCCAGTCGGTTGGAGGACCTAACGACGGGGTGCAGTCTGATGTTGTCATGGGCGAAAACTGCTAGACGTGTATATACATCTGCTTATAACTGTAATTATATCTTGTTACCATGTGAAAGCTATCGCCATCGCCATCGCCATCGCCGTCTCCGGCCTGCCTGTCACCGTCGCCTGTCCCACCTTAAACTGTCTACAACGTCCTTTCGTCGTTATTTCGGATGTTGCGAGTTGTGGCTGGTGGTTGCTGACTAAGCAAAAACGTCGGCTTTGCTACTTCTGCCACTTCTACTTCTACTTCTTTCACTCCACCATTCATTAATTAATCGCTCCATGAAGATCTACGGAGCACAAGGTGGTACTGGTACTATAAAGAGATGAGGACGAAGATACTGGCCGTTCTTGACCTACGAAACCCGCCATCTCCATGAGTTCCCCGTATCCTCCCCCAAACCTCCCTTTGTCCGACCCGCCCCGCCTCCCATGAACTCCTACGTAACTATCTACTAACTAACCAACTACCTAAACTAGTTTACCAAGTACCTACCTATACTCACTTAGTTAGTTACGGAGTACAGGCTTCAAAAACCCACCGCGTTCGCCGCCATAAAAGGGAAACACCCAGATAACCCAAACCGCGGGAGAAATCATGCCACTTTTCAGCTTCCGGCTGAACTAGGCACTTCGCCCGCTCTAGGGTTATCTTCGCTTGCTTAACTTACTCACAGGCCGCTGTCAAGGTCCTCTGCGCTCCAAGCCCCTTAATGCGCCTGCATCCCCGGAGGCAAGGACAAGGACAAGGACGAGCCGCGCGATCCGAGGCAGGATCCCTGTTCCATAACGACCAGTTCTAAATACACGTGCATCGCAGTATCTTGGCTTGCTGTCGAGGTGCGGCGGAGGGAGGGTTGTTTTTTGGGTTTGGTTTCTTTTCTTTTCTTTTTAAAGGCCTTTGGTGCGCAGAGGTAACTAGGTACTTACGTATGTATATACATACTTTCATGTGCACGGAGTAGAGTTGACGGTGACAGGCGGGACCGGGAGGGAGGGAGGCACAGAGTTACTTTTATGTGTACTTACACTCGTCGTTAAGGGCGGGTTTTTTTCGCTTTCGTACCCTGCCTCTTTAGTTTGATGATTCATTAATTAGGGACTGGGAACAGGCTCTGTAGACAAGTTGATGTATCGATATTTCTCTCCCCGCTTCACACTATATTACACATAGTTAACATGGGCGGGCGTGTAGATATTTAATAGCCGATATGAGTACACTGCATAAGATAAAGGAAATATGCAAGAGACAAAACAAAAAGGAAATAGAGGTATATCAGGTATGTATGAAATGCAAATCCCGGTTCCTGAACATGTGCCACTGTCACTTGTTATCGTATAGCCAGTTGAGCTTCTATATTGGTGCAAAAAGGAAAGAGGTGATCGAGTATTTGAAAAAAAAAAAGAGACCCCAGAGAAGATGTATGCAAGTGGTCGGTGCGAGTGGTTTAAGACATGAAGTAAAAGGTGAAAAAAGATAAAAATGAAGAGCAAAGCCTAAAGCAGGTACATGTCACCGATAGGCTATCGTTGGACACTTGACAGAAGCATAAAAATAGAAAAAAGATAAGGGAAAAAAAAGCTGTACATGAGATAAGTAGCAGTCTTCTCTTCTTGTGGGGCGAGACAATAATAAGCTCGTATTCGATAATGAGTAATGGTGGGAAGGTGAAAAAAACGAAAAGGAACAAGCAAGGGAGTGACTTCATTCAAGTAAACCTTTCATCATTACTTGCATTTTCATCAGGCATATTGATAAGTATGGCAGTGAGAAGTAAGTAAGGGATGGATAAAGGGGCAACCGTGCTATTTGGTGCCTGCGCTGTCATTGTAAATTCGGACATATAATACTTCTTTCGGTTAAGTGAGAGACACTGGGGATATTCTAGTCTGGTCCCCGCCACGTGGTAACCGCAGGACGAAAAGAAAAGAAATAACTTGCGTCAACGGTGTCCCGGGTCGTATGTGGGTGATCGATGGGACCTGGAGCTTTCGTATATCGGCCATCTCTTATCACCCAGCCGTTGAGGCTTCGCGGATTGAGATGGAGAATGAATAGATGGATGGATGGATGGGTGGGTGAGGTGGGACTGGTCGCGCGCCCAATTGAGAGTGGCTAGGTTAAAAGTGTTTCTCATACTCACGCTGCGGTTGCTATTGCTAGATTTGGTCATAGTCGTTCAAGCACATGTGCCTATTTGGTACGGCAGCGGCGGAAGTGGGAGATCGGTGGGTGACTTGAGATGCGGCGGAAGAGCGTCCCGGAGGCTACCTGGCTGGCTGGCTAGCTGGGCTAGACGAGGGGAGACGTATGTATGATTACGGCTGCGGCTGCAAGCCGTGTTCATGCACGCCATACTCCATAACCGACATACCCGCATTCATGCAGCGCAGCGCATACCATCCAGTCAAGCGGGAACGAGTAAGAAGCCACTTCCTCCGTCAAAATAACATCGATGCGATGTTATGCCCGGCTGCGGCGGGGCATCCGCAAGCGCCTGGCAAGGGGAGCTCCGAGCTAAGATGAGCATCTTAGGCTGGTTGGACCAGCGGCTCCTCATCTCAGCTCCCCGGGACCAGAGGAAGTGTTTCTTTTTTCCCCCATTTGCTTTTGGGTTTCGCTTTGCTTTGCTTGGGTCATTCAGGCTACAAGAACCCTGACTCAGTGAGCAGTCTACATTGAGAAAACGGGGAATCATTAGCTGATTGGTTAATTCTTTCAGGCAGGTCAATCAAATCGTAAAATGCGCTGGAAAACAACAAAGCCACGAACGAAAATCCCCATCTGAAGGTTAATCCACAATCACGGAGAGCGAATAGAAGGTATAGGAGCGAATAGGAATAGGAAGGAGGAGTATGGGAGGGAGGGGAGGGGGGGAAGCAATTAGGCAGCAAGCAGCAGAGAGGAGCAGCACGTCTTCGAAGCGTGAGATAATCCTGGCCATGTCGATGTAATAACGATCAGCTAGGCTGACTTTTGCGTTTCTTGCGCGCTTTCTTTTTTCTTTTTTCTTTTCTTTTTATCCCTCTTAATTTTTCACATCATCCATCATAGCTCGGTGCTGCTTCTGCTTTCTGCTTTTGCAATTATTTGCTCCGAAGGTAGTGTGTAACTGTGCTTGTCGCATGTCGCATTTGCTTTTTTTCTCTTGCTCTCTGGTTGTTTCCTTTGTGCTGGCTGGCTGTCCAGGGCGGGCAGGGGCCTCGACTGCCGTTTCCCTTCGCGTTGGCTTCTGGGGCTGGGGCTGGGGAGTCGATGCATCGCCTGAGCCACAACTGCTTATAAAAAGGTCTTGGGCAGCGCTTCCAAACGACCAGGATGGCAGCACGTGCGGCATCCCAGAGGGCGCATCGCAGCAAGGAAGGAAGAAGCAAAAAAAAACCACACAAGAACACCCGCATAACGGATGTTGCGAGACAAAATGGAGGTGAATCGAGGGAGGGAAGTCGGTACAGGAAACTGGGTTGGCGTTGACGATAGGAAAGGATAGGAAAAGTACGATGAGAAAAACAAAAAGAAAAGAAAAGTGTAGGAAGTGAAGGCTGAGAGGGAGTTCCGGGGGGGGGAGGGCTTGGGAGGGCTTGGGGAAGAGGACGGCATGTCATGGCACGATCAATGTATGCCAACCGTCAGGGAGAGTGCAACGACCGATGGGTCGTAGTAGTGTTTACCATACCTTGCGATTTTCTCGTCTTCCCTTTCTCGGGGTTCGATTTCAAGACTGCGGTCGTACATGTCGTGCACATCGCCTGCAGCCTGCATATTATTCAGCACGTACTCCTGCAGCTCCGGCACGGGAATGAGCTGGTAAGGCGCATTCTGGTACTGCTGGATATCGCGGATCACCTCCGCGGTCTTGGTGCGTTTGTTGAAGTTGATTAGATCGGATTGAGTGAGTGAGGGAATGCCGTCTTCGATGAAGGTAAGATCCGTTAGGTAGACACCTGTGCGTGTGTTAGTGGCTCTGCGCCGATAAAAAAAAATAGGAAATTGTCGTTACCGAAGAAAGGAATGCAAGGGGGATTGGCTAGGTGAAGGGTTTCACGGTATTCGCCAAAGTTCTTTGTGCTAGCCATGAGTTTGCGGATCATCTCGAGGGTTCCAGCGGTTCTCTGGCTGACTTGCGCCCATGTACGAGCCAGTCGATGGATTGGCGCGGTGCCAAGCGCAGAGATAATAGATGTCAAAGTAGAATAATTGTTAAGTTGTCGGCATTTCTATCAAATTTGTTAGCATAATTTTTATGTGTTAAGGGGGTAAGAAGATAAATCAACTTACATCAGCAACGGAGACAAAGTGTTTGATAACGACGACTCGTCTCCTGACGTCCGACTGGGTCAAAATCATCTCAGCCACCCAGTTGGTAAGCTGGTTAGAATGTAGAATAAGAGCCTTGACGTTCGGCGCCGGCTCGGCCTCGCCTGGTCCAGCCTTTTTCTGCCAGGTCTTATTCAAACACTCCGTAGGCTTAATCTTAGCATACAGCCGCGACTCGATGATAGTCAACTGGCGCGCAAACTCCGTTGGGTCGATATCCAAGAACTTGATCCTCCTCATGTTCTTGGGTGTGATGGGAGTGGGTGCATTGGAGCTAATGGTGGGTACCAGGCGTTTGGCGGTAGTTTCTTCTCCACGTAGGCGTTGCTCTATCAAACTGACTAGTTGTTGCGCGCCAGGCGTCTTAGTCGATGCAACTGCCTCGGTAACGAAGGAGTGTATACGGCCAAGTAAATGTGTGTTTGCCTCATCATTTGGTTCCATCCAGAAGTTCTCGAACCAACTCTTGAGGATGTTGACGACACGGATCCGGATGGGTATTTGCTTTTGTTCGGTCCAGATTTGTAGCTCTGCTTTGGTCAGGCCGTAGGGAGGCTGGAGTGTGAAGCGATGTACCACCATCTCAAAAAGCTCCGAAGCCGTGGTGAAGGACCGGTATGTGAGAAGGAAGGTATCCTTGAAGGAGGGATCAAGCTTGTCATGGCGGGTAAGCTGTTCAACTAGTCCTGCCAGCGTACCGCACTTGAGCTGCTGCACGTCACCCTTGACGTCGTAAAACACCTCGGCCTCATGGTCGAGTTTCAGGAACCACGGTGTTTCCTCGGGTTCTCTGGCAGAAGTCGGCTCCCTCGGCACGGGTTGGCCAAAGAACCGCTGCGCCTTATCCAGAGACCGTGGTGGCTTATCATGGTCATCGCCCACGCCATAGCTGGAAGGTATGCCAATAGATGATGGCGGACTCTTGCGTACCTTGGGAGCAGATTTGTTATATCCATCTCCATTTTGTATTTGTTGTTGTGGAGCTTGTTCCAATAGTAAGGTCAACGAGAATCCAATCTGTTGAACGCAATTAGTGAGCTGCCTTGACATCATGCGGGTATTATTTAGACGAGTCTCAAGCGAATCGCCCCTGATCTCGGCCCACTCGTCGCCTAGCGGAGCAGAGATGTGCTGGCAGCTCATAACGAGGTCCGAGATGCTGTCGTACACGCGCTGCTTCTGAACGCTGAAGTCCGCTAATTGCGGGTTCTGGAGATCAGAGCCAAAGTGTGACAAGTCGATAGACTCGATGAGCGCCACCCACGGGCGAAAGTTTTCGACTATCGGCACGCCAGCTTCACATACAGCGTCGCCAATCTCGGCATGGCTTTTTGGCGTAACAATTTTACCCTTGAAGGATGAGAGCTGCTCTTCTAGCCTGCGGGAGCTGACAGCTAGCATCTTGCGAAGCTCTTCGATTCGCTCTAGAAGCTTTGAGTCAAGCGAGACCGACGGAGTGCGGTGAGACTCAGAGTCATGCTCGAGGAAAGACGTTGGATCCCTTCGAGCGAGGTTGTTGTTCTGCCAGTGACCGCCAGAAGTGCTGCCGGCGACAAAGCCAGGTGTCAGACGGCGGATATCGTCTCCTCGCTGCTGCTTGGCCACTTCGACGTAGCCGTAAACGCCCTGTAGAACGCCCTCGGCTTCATGGAGACATTTGGTCGCAGAGTCTGGTCCCGGCCAGTCAGCCGCGGCAATATGTGAGGATAGGACGAGCTTGGAGAATTTGGACATCATATCGCGGAAATGCGGGTATAGCGCCTTGTTTGTAGAGATGATTGACGGGTTGCCCGAGTGGTTATCTGTAGTATCGGAGCCTGCCGCGAGAAGCATCCGCAGGTGATCGGACACATCCTCGGCCCTGCGAACGTACTCTGACCGCCGACCTTCGATGATGGCCTGTCGATACGCCTCAATTGCATCTCGCATGTTGCTGACGAGCGAGTTCCAGGTAGGATGAGGAGCGGTGGAGTCATCCAGGAAATAGCGAGGGATAGAGGTTGAGATGCCAAAGGGCAGAGATCGATCAGTCGCGTTCGAGTGGGTGGACATGGGAGTGCCCATGATAGGGATAGAGTCCATGCCAGCGTTTCCACCGTTTGCAACGAAATGGGGAGGATAAGCTGATTTGAGATCATAGTGTTTGGTGATTGGTGAAGGATTGACGGAACCTAAGGATGTAGCAGGAGAGACGCCATCAGAAATGAACGAATGTCGGCGCTGCGATGCCATTAAGAGGGAGTCACCTTCAGCCTCTGAGGCAGAGCCATCATAGTCATCTTCGTAGCGATCGATGCCACGGGCCATCATCTCAGGTGGCAGCCTGGTGTGTTCGGGCACGTAGACGTTTGTACGGTCCCGAGGGCCAGACTCGTTGACGGAAGTCGGCGTCTCCAGGGGAAGTTCCATTGTGCTGTAGCCGGTCAATGTGTTGTAGTAGAACAGGCGCCCGTCTGCGGTGGCCTGGGGGATCCAGAAGGCGGCCTCTTCGGGCTCGCCGCCGTCTGCTCCATTGCTTTCAATAGGCAGGTCGTCGTCTCTCAGGGTAGTGTCAAGGCCGTCAACGTCGTCCTCGTAGTCATCGTCTGCGCCAGATTCGGCACTGGCATCACCGGCGTGCTCGTTGAGAGCCTCGGGCCCAGGAACGACAGCGCAGTAGTTACTTGGGAACCAGCCACGGACATCACCAATCACACCGTCCCACCAGCCGGTCTCGAGCTGATTCAGCACCTGAATAATGTCGCCTTGCTCGAAGCTAAGGCTGGTGTGGTCGTCTGAGGTGTACTTGTACAGAGCTCTAACATAGAGAGCCGGAGGCGCCTCTGTTGGTGATACGTAGCCTGTGAAATGCGGTTAATACGACGTGGGTAGAACCGGAAGAAGAGGAAGTAAATTTTGGTACAGACCATCGTCATTCGCCGCACCAGCAGCGCCCTGGCTGGAGTAGCCATCGCGAGCAGCCATGGCCGCTCAGGGTGATGATAATAACAGTAGTAAAAAGAACTGGGAGAAAGGACGAAAGAACAAAAGGTCGATCCAGAATACCTCGAGCTGCGTTCGACTGTGTCGTCTCTGTCCCGGCGAGACACAAGAGGCTGTCTGCAGAGCGAGTAGACCAGCGGAAGACAAAGGTCGAGGCTGGTAGCAAGACGGGGAGGCCCTTAACGTTGGTGTTGTATGTGGAAGCAGGAAGTGCGCATGATTCGTCGAGGCGGCCAAGGAAGGCACTGTGTGTACCGAGAGTGGTCAGTCCGTCGTTCAGTCAGTCTTGTCCGGTCGTTTATTGTTGCTTCGCTTGACGGGCTCGTCCTCAAGCCATATCTTTCTGTCTCCTGTCGAACCGGGATGTGCCGTGGAGAGCGAGTATGGGAGAGGCAGCGAGGACCAGCGAGGACCAGAGAGGATGACCGGCGAGAGGCGAGAAAGGGGGTTGATCTGGTCCAAGGCAGCCTTTGACGGACTTTTTGGCTGTCCCTCTGTCTGTGGGTGGTTCGTCGGAGATGTTTCAGGCCCGGGCCCGGAGTCCAGGAAGTCCCCTACCCGTCCAACAAGCGGATCGTGCGCCCAACGGCCCCAAGATGTGCGGAGTATCCCGGGTAGCGAAAGACGAAAGCCGCGAGAAATCGACGCCGGCAGCAGGTGGAGCAAGCTGTTCGATCGAGATGGCGGTCGTCGTCGCTGTGCTGTGGTGGCTGTGGTGGTTGTTGTTGGTGGTCGAGGAGGTGAAGTCGAGCGAGAGAACAGAAAGTCGAGGTTGGCGAGTTCTGGACTTTACCCAAAGCGGAAGAAGAGCGAGCGAGAGCGAAAGCAAGAAGTGCAAACAGAAAGAGGAAAAGAGGTGGAGACCCAGCGAAAGGGGCAAGCTTAGGTAAGCAAATCTGCCTTGGGAGATGATGAAGAAGAAGAAGCAAGCAAGAAGACGACAAGATAGTAGTGAAGATAGTGAAGATTGGGAAGGGGAGAGGAGGAGACGGCGAGATGGAAGGAGAGCCAACTAAGTACAGGCATGGGCAGACAGAGACACAGCCAGAGAGTCAGTCAGACAGGCGAGAGACAGAGCCAGCAGAGATCGCTCGCTTAGGTGGGCGGCCAGACCCCAGGAGTGGGAGCGACGGGCATGACTTGCCCATGGACAAGGCAGGGATGTAAGTTATAGATAGCGTTTAGTTCAAGTCAGTTAAGGGTTTAGCAGGTATAACCAAGTAACTGCTAAGGGCTTAGCTGGAGGAGCAAGAGTTTTAGGCCGGTGGTGCTCGATCCTCTGCCGCCCTTTGCCGCAGGGAAGAGTTATGCACGGGAAGTGTATGTATATATGTAGAGGTATGAACATGCATAACATATTCGACTCGTTTACGACCTAACTACTTAGGGGTGGGTGTATGAAACGTCTATCCAGAGAATCATTCGGAAGGCTGAAAAAAAAGGCTGAAGGGAGAAAAAGTGATGCGTACTTTTGAGATATGCCACTTGTCATGTTTGCTTCAAGGAATATCGACTCTTGACTCCGTCTGACTTGTTCTGCTCGCTCAGGGAGGCAACATACATACATGCATGCTGGCTACACTACAGCATACATACATACATTCGGACATACATATCCAGGAACAGGAAAGATGAAGGAGAGCATCAAGGACCGTCCGGCTGGGAGATTTGCGCTTCCCTCGTCCCTGGTTGGTGGGTTTGGCTTGAACTGCTTGACTCTGCTCGCCACCTTCAGCCTTAGTGACCGACCTGCGCCAGCACATACAACGACTGCCCTACATAGCAGAGGCGAAAGGAAGGAATAAAGAGAGAGAGGAAGAAGAAAAGAGGGAGAGGGAGAGCAGAGATGCGCATCGTGAAATTGAAGGTGGGTAGCCACACGCCACAGGCTAAGGAGAAGAGATTTACGATGAAAAAGAAAGCAAGCGAGCAAAAAGGGCAAAAAAAGAAAGAAGGAAAAGAAAAAGAAAGGGAAGAAAAGAAAAGAAGACGAAAAAGGGCGATACGATAATAATACTAAATGATTAAGATGGGATGGGATGGGATAGGACGAGGGATGAGGGACAAGGGAAGGGAAGATATATCACCAAGTTTACGGAGTACCTGATTTCTACTATGCCCACTCGACTACTTAAAACTGCTCCGTAGTCGTTGACGATTATGGCCTGAAAGGGGAAAGACGAGTCACGAGCTGAGTGTTGGGATCTGGTCGACTATTTACTTGGTCGGCAGGGAAGTCCTCCTTGACCATCTCTCATCTCCATGTCCGAACGCTTCTTATTTATCGTCATCTCTTTCTTCCGTGACTGCAGGAGAAACTCAATTGAATGTGAAGAATCAGAAGAGGCGGTCTCTACTTTTCTATCACCAGCATGGACATCGACATCGACATCAACATCAACATCAACATCGTCAACACCAACATCTGTCTGCTCCTACGACTAACACACCGCCTGGCCCCCCACCGGAGCTGCACATCTAGACTCCCGTCTCCATCTCCATCAGCCCACCAGGTAATGATAATTAGTTAAGTGAATATAAGTCAGGTAAATAAAATAGTACACACAAGTAGGTGTGTACGTATAGTTACGGCCCGTATCGTCGGTACGGTCCAGTCCGGTTGGAAATGCAAGAAGCAGCACCAGTAGTTCTCGAAGGGGTTCACTTCCTCCTCTCAAACTAGGTTAGGTCGTCAAGTAGCGAGGTTTCCCTGCTGAAACGGCGTCCCCTCCCTCCCCCTAACTCAGGTAAGTAATGAATGGAGGGCCCGATCGAGAGTCAGTGGCAGAGTCAAAGTACTTAAACTGTATACACTCACTCCTACTCCATCGTCAAAGAGCAGAAAGTAAGGTGAGCAGTGAGTTAGTGGAGGGGCTCAGATCTGACTTGTCACAGATGCTGCACTTTCTTTTCCCCTTTGATATATTATTTATCCCACCAGATGAGCTGAGGGAGGGAAGGGAGGGGCGAAACATGCCCCTCTAACCTGCGCTGGCAGTCCTTTTATGTGCCAATGCCCCGAGTGTGTGGGTGAAAGTCGAGTCGAGATGAAAAGACGAGGGAGACGCGAAGGCGAATTATCAAGTGGTATGACGAGTGTCATATTTAATTTCAGGGGGGGACAAGTCGCTAGGGGGTACCCCCTCGGATCCTGCATGGTTCGGTGGTTGGTGTTCGACGTTCCCGTCCGTTGTCAGTGTATAAGTAAGGTACCGTTGAGGTGAAGAAAGTGCTTTTAAGCAAGGTATATACATATGTCGGTCGGTATGTGCGTGTGCACCCTCCCCCTGGCTGCTGCCGTCGATAAGGCATATGTATATGCATGCATGGATTGGTAGATGGGCGGTGAGATGAAGATAAACACCGAACGGACAGTCGACACGAAGAGGAACCAGCCCCGGAAAGAAGACGCAGGAGCAGAACCAGCCAGGAAAAGAGGCCGACCCGGCAGCTTCAAGGAGGCCAAGCAAGCCGGCTCGCCCAGGGGGGAAAAGGGCCCCCCCAGGAGGAACGAACCCCAAAGAAAAAGGCTAGGGGAGGCCCGAGGCGGGAAGTCGACCCCACCGGTACCGTAAGAAAGTCAGTAAGCCGTTTACTTCTTAGACAACAGTAAACAAGAGAAGTAGAGCAGAGAGGAAGTAGAATATTAAAGTAGAGCAGAGTAGAGTATACTGAACAGAAGGCAGTCTTTACCATTGAAGCAGACAGAGATAGAAGATGATGACGATGAAGAAGATATCAATGAAGCTGGTGGTGATGTGATGAAGGACAAGAAAGAAGAAGAAATGAGGCGATCGATCGGCCTGGGACTTTCTGGCGGTGACCTTGTACTATAAGCCGTATCGGCCGTATTTTACTATTGGTCGTGTGGGCTGTTTTATTTTACTTTTACTGGTAGTCTGTAAAAATGTGTATAAGCGTGTAAAAGTGTGAAAAAATATGGTAAGACTCCCAACGGTGGGAAGGGGGGTCCCTGTCCTTACGTTACCGGTAAGCAAGAAAAAAGACCGATGCAAAAGGACGAAAAGTGGCTGTGGCTTGCTGGTCGAACTTGGTTTGTTTGTTTGTTTTCTTCCCAAGGGAAAAAGGTGGAAAAAGAAAAGACAGGAAAAGAAAAGGGT